TTGAGGTCGGTGTTATTTTCTTTACACTCGCTACACTCCCAACGCAATGAGTAAGTTGGGCTTTGCTCTAATTGTGTCTATTATGTGCTATTGTTTCTGCGTGTGTGTTTCAACAGCTGATCTCGTTCGTTAAGGGTGCAATAAGTTTCAAAGTGGTTAGTTTAATTGGGATGGCACAACCGAAAAATGGGGTCACGGGCGCGGACTCGTTTGAGAGAGTTTTCGCAGTGAGAACGGTGAAATAATTCTAATGGCCATTCCTGAAAAAAATATATAAAAAAAAATCATAATGCGAAAATTGATTATGAAAAAAGAGAAATTTAAATTAAAGAAAATAAAATTAATTCATATTATGCTAAGATAATGAAACAAAAAAAATACATTGCTTACATATGTATAACACCGTGCGACAGTAAATTTTACGCACAAAAAAAGTTCAAAAAATTATTTTAAAAGTTCGGTGCAATGTAGGTAACAATAAGGGTATCTTTTAAAGAAAAAATGAAAATTCTGTAGAATTATAACAGATTTTTTGGTGCGTAAGGACGAATGGGTATGGAAAATGTCCTTTACAAATTGTGTGCCTAAATATCCTTGAAAATTAGCCTTTTTTATTGTTTGCGGACTAATATACCCACGACCTCATCACCGAATTTCGTCCTGCAAGCTTTATTAACTTAAAAAATTTAATTTATTAAAAGCGCATTTTTAATACCTATTCGTCCTTGTAAATCAAAAAGCTTTATTGTTTTTATTTGGTACCTCTCATTTGGTACCCATATTGTTATTCTACATTGCACTGATAGTTTTAAATAACTTTTTGAATTAATCATATCTTTAAAATTTCAAAGTCATTTGAAAAAGAAGCATTGTACAAATAACCGAATTTGAAGTTTTTATTTTTACAAAATTTTTTCAATTAATTATATTCAAACGTTGATATAAAAATAGAAAAAGATTAAATATTTGTTTAATATATTTAATCAATTTTGCTTAAATTTCCCCATTTCTAATTTTTAAATTTTCATTTCAATATTTTTTTCTTCATTTCTTCATCTGCTCCTGCCACTGTGCCTGTGCAATGCTGCCAACTTAAACTTCCTGAGCTTTATGTCATTTTGACAGTCCTGTTTTTTTTTTTCTAGTTCTGCTGTCACAAACCTGCTTTTATACGTGGCCCTCTGATTTGGTATCATTTCGAAGAGAAAAACATTGAAGAATTTAACTAATTTATCACACTTTATAGATTTTATCGTGGAAATTCGAATACATATACTCAGCAATTATGAACCTCAAACTCTTTGGAACTTTATGTGCGCTAGTGCTTCTACAACTGCTGCGTGCCAGCGAAGCGTTCATCGTCACTGTTGATGCACACCTTGAGGAGTGTTTTCACGAGAAGGTGGAAGGCGGCACCAAATTCGGTTAGTATTTTTAGCCATAAGTCCCCACAGCTGTGCTAATTTCATTATTTTAACCTACCCCGCAGGCATCACGTTCGAAGTTATCGAAGGCGGCTTCCTCGATATTGATATCAAAATAACTGGCCCGGATAACAATGTTATACACGAGAGTGAGAAGGAATCTTCCGGCAAATATACCTTCGCCGCTGTCTCGACAGGCGTCTATCGTGTTTGCTTCAACAACGAGCGTAGCAGCATGACACCAAAATTGGTTATGTTTTCGATTGAAGTAAGCGATTCGCCGCATCGTCCGGCCGGTGCGCCTAGCGAAGAAGAGGTGGGTCACACCAAGTTGGAGGACATGATTCAGCAGCTGTCTGGTACGCTGACGGGCGTGAAGCATGAGCAGGAATACATGCATGTAAGTTTATTATTTTAAAGAAATCAAATGGCCCGTATATAAAATGGGATTTCCATCGTTTTCCACAGGTGCGTGACAAAATCCATCGCTCGATTAACGAGAGCACCAACTCGCGCGTTGTCTTGTGGTCCACTTTCGAAGCGCTGGTACTAGTGCTGATGACCATCGGCCAAGTGTACTATCTGAAACGCTTCTTCGAAGTAAAACGTGTTGTATAAGAGGACCGTGAATGATAAAAGCGACAGTAGCAAAAGGCGCGGCACTTTGACATTAAACAAATGCTATGGTTTATTATTCCTTTGTAATTGCTATTGTAATTTAAGCGAATCTTCTTCCGCGCATAACGACTTCTCAACAAATAGTTTAGGTATATGGCATACATTCAATCTTCTCATTTTATACATTTGTTCTAAACCATAGAAAATTAAATTTATCCGCACTCTTATTTGGTTAAAACATGTAATATCGTAATATTTTTAGAGCAAATAAACTTAAGTCCTTTAAATGTTTGTTGTTTTATGGTTGGTGAATGTAAGTTAGGACTTGGGGAACTGAATCTATGATTTTTAGATAATTTTACAAAAATTTTTTTTTCTTGTTTTTATAACAGCCATCATCCTTATATTCACCGGTCTGGCAACGATCTCTGTTAAGTCTCTCTATCGAGTGTTTTTCTCTTAACATTCAATGTCATTTTACGTTTTGTTTTGTTTTGCAAATCTAGTTTCCATTGTGCAAAACAAGAGGCAGCAAATTATCAAATTGATTGATATTTAACTTCGGAGCAGCTCAAAAATAACCAAAAACGCTGAAAACCAAAGAATCCATCGCTGATGATACTGAAAATCTGTCCCAGCATGAGGACTATTTTGGTTATGCATCCCATGCGAAAATCCCAGCTGACCTTGGCCGTTGTTACTTACTTGCTGCTGGTGTCCTTGACGCCCACAAAAGCCGGTGAGGCAAACGCAAAACCCAACATCGTGCTAATACTAAGCGATGACCAAGACCTGACGTTGGAGGGCATGACACCGATGAGGCAAGTCCAACAGCTGATTGGCAAAGCCGGCGCTACATTCGGTCATGCGGTAGGTGTAAATATTCAGACAAGGATTTTATTCAAGGTTCGTTTTAACTTTCCATCTTATTTAGTACACCAGCTCGCCACTGTGCTGTCCTTCGCGCGCCAGTCTGCTATCCGGCATGTACGCACACAATCATGGCACTACAAACAACTCACTGAGTGGAGGCTGCAATGGCCACCGCTGGCTCACAAAAATCGAACCACAAGCATTGCCTGTACTGCTGCAGTCCGATGGCGGCTACGAAACCTTCTTCGGTGGCAAATACTTGAATGAGTTTCGCGGCGAACGGGTGCCACCGGGTTGGACGCAGTTCTACGGCTTGCATGGCAATTCACGTTACTACAATTACACGCTACGCGAAAATATACGCAATGTCAGCTACACAGACACTTATTTAACAGATTTACTGCGTGATAAGGCGTTGGCATTCTTGAAAACGCGCAACAAGCAGCAACCGTTTTTCGCAATGATCACGCCTCCAGCGCCGCACGCGCCCTATACGCCAGCCGAGCGGCATCGTGGTGCCTTTGCGCATGTGAAGGCACTGCGAACGCCAAACTTCAACCGCGTACCTCTGCCACAAGGTGAGTGCCACCAGTTTTCATTGTAAAATTTTACATTTTTCCCCTCGATATATTTCTAGAAAAGCATTGGCTTGTGGCCGCCACACGTCCCATACCAAGCGAGACCGTAAAGCTGCTTGATAACTTCTACCAACAACGCTGGGAGACGCTACTTGCTGTAGACGAAATGGTTGCCGCAATTGTTGAAGCGTTGACGGAGCAGCAGCAACTGGACAACACCTACATAATTTACACATCGGACAATGGCTATCATATGGGCCAAAATGCACAGCCTTGGGATAAGCGACAACCCTACGAGACGGACATTCGCGTGCCGCTAATGGTGCGCGGTCCTGGCGTGCCAAATGGTGTGTTTGTGTCGCAAACTACGTTGCTGCTAGACCTAATGCCAACCATACTTCAATGGACGGGGCTACATTCGCATACAGAAATGGATGGCTTGCCCATACAAGTGACTTTGCAAAGTGTCAGTGACGGCGAATTGGGTGGGAAAGAGTATCGGCGTAGCGTGCTGGTGCAACACTGGGGAGAGGGTAACAGCGACACTTACAATGAAGGCTGTCCCTGGCCACGCAATGATCGATTAGCGCAGTGTACGCCAGAATCAGACTGCCATTGTCAGGATGCTTGGAACAATACATACGCGTGTGTGAGACACTTTAGGGGTATCACTGATCGATTGTATTGCGAATTCGATGATAGAGAGGTAAGTAGTGGCTTGAAAAACTAAAATTTTTTTAAATTACAAAATATTTTTCAGAACTTTGTTGAGGCGTATGACGTAGAAGATGATCCGCATCAAATAAACAATATCGGCTATGAGCTGCTGCCAATTGAACACGCCTTCTACAATTTGGCGTTGGCGAATCTAACGCGGTGTGCGGGCAGCAGCTGCAATGACATTAATCTATAAAAATTGAGCTTTCGTCCCGAACGCACAAAACGATCTCCAAGTGTGATTGAAACATACATACTATGTAAATGTAACAACTTCGAATATAAATACATACATACATATACGCAAGTAAAAAAAGTAGTAAAATGTTTTTCAACTCGGTGCTAAATATACCTAAACTCGTCCTGGACTTCTGAAATGGACGAAAATGTTTTTATTGGAACACGAAAAATATGAATCTCCAAGTCAGGGATGCTCTACCTTTTGGTCGAATTACCGATTTCCGGATCCGCCCGGAAGTGAGATAAGCTGACCCGAAGTCAATTTTTTTTAAGGATATATGTATGTAAGTACATAGTTTTACTAGATATGGATTCTGCGGACAAACTTTACATAACTTTCATCGCGGAGTTGGTCGGTCATATTTTTGCGTTATTCAATAAAACATTTACCTCCATTTTAGTGGGGGTGGGCGCGTGGTCTAGGACACTGTATATTAATATTTGCAATTGTTATCGTCCAAATGGAAACTTTATTTTATTTGCTTCCCAGCACCACTTTCTTAAGAATCTGCGACATGTTTTATACTCTTACAATAACAAAATAAACAACTTGTTTAAAACTATGTAATTTTATTAATTTGTAATATTTAGATTGGACTTTTCTTCATGTGATTAATCTTATTCTCACTTCATGTTTTAGGTCCTTACAAACTGAACTTTATTTTTAGGATTTAAATTAATTTAATTTTAAATGTAATGCTTCATGGATATATTTTCGCATGTATTCATAACTGTTGGTTTTTCAAACCATATTTCTGCAGGTTATCATCATAAAAAAAGTAGAAAAAAAGTCAAAGTGCCAACAACTCAATTTATTTATGCTTCAATATTAGCAATATTAGAAAGTATTGTGTTACTAAGAGTTCGTTTCGGTAAAAATCAAGAAATTACTACATAAAGTATGTATGTATGCATATGTATTTAGTTGAATTGCAACTTGCACGTTTTCATTATTTCGTTGAATAAAAACGATCTTATTTATATTTTAACACTACATCTGGTCTGTATAGATTATCCCGCGCTTACGCGCCAATTATTCATGTATTGCAATTTTCAGTTACTGTGTAAGCTGATTAGATTCATTGCAGTACCAATATATTTATTTGATTTTGCAATTCATATATTTTTTCTTGTTGTCTGTTTGCACTTAAAATGTTCTTACACTAGTGTCTTACTCGGTCGGTTCTTTGCTAGTGGAATTTTTATCCTCCTCTGCATTGGCCGTGTGCCAAGTGAGACGCTCCTCATAGAACTGTATGACTATTTGTGGGCATTTTACGTTGGCTTGTTTAGCCGGCACCAAATCGGCTTCATCGCTGCCCTTCCATTTCATGAGGAACATCAGCTCACCTGATGAATCGGTAGCTCCAAGAATTTTTGATGGCTCCAGACCTCTGTCGAAGCCCATTGTGCGGCGGTTGTCTCGCTCCTCTTCGACAGTTTTTCGCTTGACTTTTGTGTCGTTCACTGGCGTAGTGGCGGCTCGTTTCTTGCCCTCTATCGCGATGCAATGAAAAGCAAAAGAAAAATTACATCAAATCTAGTGCTAAGGAAACTGTATGCAAACAGCTAAATTATTGGCTTTACAATTTTTCTTACCTTTTTTTGTTTTCAAAGACTCCTCAAATGCGGCGATCAAATCGGGGCAGTCAAGGTTCTCTACAGGTTCCCAAGAATTTTCGCTGCGCGGGTATCCTTTCCATTTTAAGAAGTACTCGGTCTATGAATTACACAAAATAATTAAAATTTTTTCATTGCCATGTCGTTTGAGCTACTTACTCTGCCATTGCAAATACGCTTGTCCTCAATGCGTTCCACAGAATACTCGCCCGCCTCGGACATAGTGATGGTCTCGTTGGTAGCGATTTTGATTTTGCCGCTGCTGCGTCGCTTGCTTTGTTGGGGATAAACGTGCTTTGAAAAAAACACAAGGTTTTTCTTTTATTTTTGAAAAGCGTGTGCCTTCGAACAGCTACTAGTAAAAATAACAAAAAAGAATTTTATTTTTGTGAAAGCCATTTTGGACTTTGCCAGAAATTGCCAAATACAATCCAGTCCCATTCGCTATAGAAACACGAAGCGGCAGCGCCGTAATCGCTAACCCAACGCATTCTACAGGCGTATTGTAAAAGTCCATGTGGTCAAACTTCTACGCGTTTTTCCACGGATTGATCACTATATTTCAGTAGAATTGTATTTACTTACCTTTTCTGTTTAATTTTTCGAAGATCGGGGCTGGTTTTCCCACAAAATTTTCCAATTCGGTATCGCAGTGCGTCTTTTTCACTATCCTTTCTTCAAATTCCGTTTTTCTAAGTTAAAGTTGGCTGCGGTTATTAATTGAATCGCGTTTTTGCGAAGGGGAAACGCAGAGATTAGCTAATAACGTAAACTGATACGTTACTCAGGCAGCGTTGCCGTTTTGCTTAAATTTAAGCAAAATTGCCAAATTTTTTCCAGACTTAAATTTTTCTTCGTTGCTTAATTTTTTTATAATTCCATTCATGAATTATGTGGTAGTTTAGACCTACGCACTTCTGTCGGTGCGAATCTGTTCCGACAAGAATTACAACAATGCCGACCATAGGGGTGGGGTTTAGTAACGCCCCCAACTATTTCGGGTTATTCCGTCCAACGGGGTGGCCGGTCCAAAAAAAAAATTCCACACACTTGTAGTAAAGGGTCTACACATTATATTAACACCCACTTGTGTAATTTTTGGTCACTAAATTATTTACAAACTGGGTTTAAAATATGCCCTTTCATGTAAAATTCGGAAATTAGCGTACATTTATCACTCCTATTCTCCTTAAAGCAGCCGCTTCACCAATATATTTTTGTATTCCCTTTCATTTTACACTTTACTCGATTAGTTATAACTTTCTTTATGACTTTAATATTAACCAATTAATCACAATTCATTAAATAAAAACACCTTCAAAATCCCACGACAGTCGGGTCTACGTAACCGGAACGACACAGATTTATATCTGGCCAAGGACTGTCACTCCAGCAACACTCCCCAAAAAGTCTTTGGGGAATTTGTATGCTGCTCCAACAACAACAACCTTCAAAATCACGCGTCTGACTTTGGTTGCATATGCAAATTAAATGGCGGAGTTCAGCTGTCAAACTCCAAAATATCCAAAAGAATGAGAGACAAAAGAAGATAGAATACAATCCTGTAAGCATTAAAAATATACAAAGGTGTTCTCTGCAAAAGGTGTTCAGCTCCTTTTCTTCGCAAAACAGAAAAAGATTCTATATTGTGAGGGTTATAATCCCTAAGTGCGACCTAAGGCCGCCTACGCAGAAAGGAATTCTACGCAAAATACATTTGTTAAAAAGAACATTTTTTTTTATAAAAACTTGCTTTTTCTATTTTTAATTAACTTTTTTGGTTTTGGGTTGGAGAGCGCGCCCCTCTCCCTCCGCCCCAACCCCAAAAACGACTATTTGCAGTCAAACAACTGTCAAAATTTGGCTAACATAGGAAATAAGCTAATTTCGTTTTATTTGACCAAGATTTAGCTATTTGCTTGTGATGGTTGAATAAAACATGCCTAGTGTAGTGGTAGTGATAATCAGATATAGAACGACCGGCTCTTAAGCTCCGTTCAAATAATTTGCTTAAGTTTTACGAGATTTGCTTAATTTTCTAGGCGATTTTGGTAAATTTCATTTTTTGGTAGCGGCAACACTGAACTCGAGAATGTAATCACGGTTGCCACTTACTTCTTTTTTGTGTAACAAAATTTAAAAGAAGGTACCAAAATAAATTTTACAAATATTCAAATATTTTACGATTGCACACACATTGTTAAAATCTATTTGCATGTGAAACCTATCTCCATACAAAACAAGCGATTGAATAGCAGCTTTTGGAATGTTCGGCCAACTCAGCAGCACAAACGCTGATTACTGAGCCTTGCAAATAATATGGATCAATGCTTCGAGAATCAAACAAATTTACCAAGAAAGAAAGATACACCCAAAGGTTCAAGGCGTATTTAACAAGGTGGTGTTGGCCGTATATAAGTAAAAAATTACACTAACAAATTACACGCTGATGTCCATACTCTCATTGGTATGAGTTACAACAAACACATCATTTTGACGTAATGGCCTCCACGGCGAAAAACTCAGCTGTCGCCCCAACACCACCTTGTTTAATACACCTTGCAAAGGTTGTTTTTGCACTAATGCTACCTGTTTTATATGCCTTGGCACAGGCCCATACACCTGATTTACATGATTCAAGTACTTGAAAGCAATTCTTGCTCATTCTCTTTTGTGTTTTTTATTTGCTTTTACACGTTTCAATTCTGTTGAATTCAAGTCTTTGGTTCTTTAAATGGGAAGCAACGAAAATGCCAAAAGCAAAGCACGAAAGTTGAACCGACTTGACGGTACAGACGCATGTGCACTCGTCCCTTTTCTTCTCACCCCCTCTCTTCCACATGCGAGCAGAATTGAATTCAATACTTGAACTGTGTAAAAGCAGTCTTACCAGTGGAAAGAATGTACCAAAAACTTAACATTTCGGGAGAATGGCAAGCGTGAATGCAACAAGTAACCCCGGAACTTTAGAAAAAAAAACATTGATTCAAGATAGTTTAAGCCAGTAAAAATGGTAGAAAAGTTAGCACTTAAATAATTTAACAGAATCTGCAATTAACCGACAAATTTGTTACATACTACACCTCTTATTTTTAAGTTCCGTGGTAAAATTTTTATACCCGAGCGCACTTGTGCACAAGGGTATTATAACTTTGTTCACATAACGGTTGTTTGTAACAGGCAAAACGAATCGAGAAAGATATAGACAAATGTATACATAAATGATCAGAATGAAAAGAGAAATCGATTAAGCGGTGACTGTCTGTCCGTCCGTCCGTCCGTCCGTCCGTCCGTCTGTGCACACGATAACTCGAGTAAAAATTGAGATATCTTAACGAAACTTGGTACGTGAACTTCTTTTGGGTGTAGGACGGACGGTATTGAAAATGGGCGAAATCGGACAATAACCACGCCTACCTCCCATATAACGGTAATTTTCAGAAATACGGAAACTGCGATATTGTAGTAACTACTGAAGATTATTCACTAAAAATTGATATTTACAATAATTTTTAGACGAAAAATAAGAATATTATAAATTTTTGAAAAATGGGCGCAGCCACGCCCACTTATGGTTACATGTGTATATCTTGGCAACCTCTCCACCGATTTCTTCCGGACTTGGCACAGTTGTTGATCCTGGTACAGCATACCAAATGGCTGAAAATTTTAAAATCGGATAATAACCACGCCCACATCCCATATAACGGTAATTTCGAGAAATACAAAATCTTCGATAAATCAGTAAATATTAAAGCTAATTTATTCAAAATTGGTGGTTGCAACAATTATTTACCAAGAAATATGTCTATGATAAAATTTTGGAAAATGGGCGTGGCACCGCCCACTTGTGATCACATATATGTATCTCGCTAACCGTTCTAGCAATTTGTACCAAACTCGGTATGGTTATTGTGCTTGCCACATAAAAACAAAACTTTAAAAATTATTGAAATCGGACTAAAATTACGGCCGCTTTTCATAAAACGGTAAATTTCAAAAATGCTTGAAACTGCAATATTTCGAAATTTAAGGACTCTAATTTACTCAAAATTGATACACCCCCGCTTACCATCTAGCGGTAGGTTTCGGAAAGGTGAAAATCATATATTTAATACTTGCGCCGGGTATTTAATGTTCGACTTTCTTACTTGTTTCTAATAAATTATTTACGTTTTCTTCCGCAAGTCCTAATACCATGTTCTGACCGATATCGAAGACATGTTTTTGTTGATAAAACTGGTTTTCCACTTAAAACTTGTGTTTTCGTCTATGTAAAATCTGTCAAACGATAACCAGTTTTCGCTGAAAACTACTTGAAAACTCACGTTCCACTCATTCCAATCGGTGTCTGCACTAGTTTTTTCGATTATTTGTCGAAGTGGAAGTCATATTTTATCATCTTTAATACGCCATTTCAGATTTATTGTTAATTGGCTGGCAAAAGTAAAATAGGAATGAAAGTAAGAGGTTGCTAATGAAAAGAAAATGAGTGAAAAGCATTTTGGTTTTGTTTTTGTGTAGCAAATGTCAACGAAAACACTAACAGCCGGTGTGAACAGCCTTCAGCCCACAATCCCAAAACACGTTTTCAAAGTGTTTTCGTTGTCGGTCAGAGCATGGCATAAATCACTGCTGGCAATGTTCTTTGACGCCACATGGACTTCAACAAGATTCAATAACGGAAAGTTTGCTCAGAAAGAAGTTATCTCGCTCCCTATTGACAAAATCGGCTCCCTTAGCAAGGCCCTTCGTGTGGGTGCGTGTGTTTGTGCAACCTTTTGTAAGCGACTGTCAAAACTCTAATATCACTAGTGAGCAAACCTTTATGCAATGTTCTGACCGACATCGAAAACATGTTTTCGTTGCTAAAACTGGTTTTCGACCTAAAACTTGTGTTTTCGTCCATGTAAAATCGGTCAAACGAAAACCAGTTTTCGCTGAAAACTACTTGAAAACTCACGTTCCACTCATTCCAATCGGTGTCTTCACTCGTTTTTTTCGATTATTTATCGAAGTGGAAGTCATATTTTACCATCGTTAATACGCCATTTCGGATTTATTGTTAATTGGCTGGCCAAAGTACAATAAGAATGAAAGTAAGAGGTTGCTAATGAAAAGAAAATGAGGGAAAAGCATTTTGGTTTTGTTTTTGTGTAGCGAAACTGTAATCAGAGGATGTAAGAAATGTCAACGAAAACACTAACAACCGGTGCGAAAAGTCTTCAGCCCACAATCCCAAAACTCGCTTTCAAAGTGTTTTCGTTGTCGGTCAGAACATGGTATTAATTATTGAATCATGGGACTTCAAAATATCGCAGAATTATGAAAAATTAATATGTAATATGAAATTGAGGCAAAACGATATTAATGGCGCTTGCTGAATGACTAATGTATTAGAGCTGTTCAAGACGTTGTGGAAATGGTCTTGGATTTTCAGTTGGAATTGATTTGCAAATTTTACGCCCGCAGCCATGGTAACCGTGTGCACTTTATTGTTGTGAATATACAAATACCACGAATATGCAAATGGAAGAGCATATTCACAAGATCCTAACAGCCCTATTGTCTTTATAATTGTCTAGACTATTGGTGGAAAATTATCGATGACACTATCGATATTATCGATGGTGCATCACTATCGCAACTATCGATGGTGCTGACTATCGAGAGTACCGATACTATCGACGATATTTCATTCCTATGTGCACG